GGGGGGGGGGGGAGAAGCTAATTCATTGTTAAACCGCTATTGTGTCAAATGGATTTGACTGTTTAATCTTCTGCTCACACACACTCAAATCAACAAGCAGATGAGAGAAAGGAGTCTCTAGAACAAGAGTAGACAAAGCCTGTGACTACAATGCCCACAATCTCTTAGCACGTCGACTATGGCTGATGCTGACTGAATTTTAAAAAAGGAAGGAAGGAGTGGGGAGAGACACTCTAGAAAAAGAGCTGAATGGAGTAGCGTGCAGGCAGCCATGTTTACAGTTGACACGCAGACAAAAAAGCTGGAGAGTCAATCCTTTTTCAATAAAGTGGGAGGAAAACACCCCAACTTTACCTCATCATTGCTTTCATTTCTAGACTATGTTTAGTTCTGGAAGTGATCTGGGTTCAGAGAAAAAAAAACCCACAAAGTAAGGAAGCACAGAGAAGTGAGGGCTGGATCTAACTTCCAACACTCTTTCAGGCTTTATTGTAATTGTAAAATGCTGACTTCACCACCCACTGATTATTATACGTGAATTGGGAAGACCCATCTAAATTTGATCCTGAATGTTATGATGCTTACTTTTCAATGAGTTGTGAGATTAGGAGGACTTCATCAGACTGCAGGACTTATTAACAGATAACTTGCTAAGCTGGATGAGGCCAAAAGTTTCCTACCAGGACAGGAGAAGCCACAGAAGAAGCCTCTGTCTTGCACAGCCATGAATTGAATATATAGTTTCAACTTCAAAGGCAAACTAGGAAGAAGAAATACAATGGCACTTCACAACAGATGAGGCTTCTCCACTTTGGAAGTTCCAGATTATTTATTTGTGTGTGTGTGTGTGTGGTCTGATTCAAATCAGTCATACAGAGTTAAGCATCTTCACTAGTTCCCAAAGTGTGATGTTGGGCCATCGATACAGGATTGGGAAATTAAAATTGGAGAATACGCAGCAGTGGAAAAATTGACTGTATATGTAGCAGAAATCTAACCAAATTCAAGCAGGAATGGTTCCCTTGGATACAGCATATTACACAGCAAGGCAAACTAAGAATTTGTTTTCTAATGAAGAGAAACTGATAAAAAATAATCCAAATAGAAATGAGCAATAGTTGCAGATGTCTAAAGTATAGTATAAAAATATTTAAGCAGCAATTAGTG